TATACAGATAGCGCAAAATGAAGATCTAAGCTAAAAGAGATCTAAAGGAAGATAACCCAATCAAAATTGTTACAATATATAGCAAATTTTATAATAATATTAATTAATAATTAATAATTAATATTTAATATTTAATAATTATAATTTTATAATATATAATAAAAAAACTGAAATTATTATTTTTACTTATATTTAATAAGTATTTATTTAATTATATAAAATTCTAAATATATATAATTAATAATCTAATAAACAAATTTAATTAAAAATATTTATATCTTATTTTAATAAAATTTTTTATAATTTATATTTTTTTATTAAAATTTTTTTGAAAAAAACTGATTATAAAAAATTTAAAATACTTTTTTAAATTATTTTTTATTTATTATTTATGAATATTTATTTAAATTAAAATAAATATACTTTAATAATTTAATAAATAAATTATTTAAGATCAATTTATAAAATAATAATCAAATTTATTTATAATAATTTTTTAAGTTTTTTATTATTAAAAATTTTGATTATAAATATATAAATTATAAAAAATTTTAATAAGATAAATTTTTAAGTAATTTTAAAAATTTTATATATAAAATATTTATAATAAAAATAATAAATTACTATATTAATTATTAATATTTAATATTTTCTTATTATATTTCAATTTAAAATAATAATTATAACTAATATAATACTTGACTTTTTTATTAACTATAATTAATAAAATATATATTTTTCTTTATATATAAAGGTTTTTAATTTTATTGATATTTTTTATTTAAAAATAGTTATAGTTCTCTAGTTTGATTATTTTTTATTAAAAATTTATTTATATTACTTATAAATTTAATTAATTCTTATTAATTAATAATTAATAAAAATAAATTAATTTTATATATAATATAAATAAGTTACTAATAAATAAACTAAAAAAGCCAAAAAAAATATGTATTTGAGCTAAAATAAAAAATATTTGTTAGTAAAATTAAAAATTTTTATATATAGAAAAAAATATATATTTTACTAATATAATTAATAAAAAATTGAAGTACTATACTAATTATAATTGGTACCATATAATAAAAATGAAATCATATTTTAATTTTGATTTTTTATTATAATAATTTTAATTATTTAACAAGTTTAAAATAAAATATGAATCAGTACAAAAATATTTATATCTTAAATAAATATTAATAAATAATTTTTTAAAATAAATTTTATATCTTTTATTAAAATTAATATAAAATTATATAGTAAATAATTTAATTACTAAACTTTAAATCTTAATTTCTCTATAATCACTTATTCAATTTTTATAAAATTTAAAATATATATTTATCAAATCTAAAATAATCTGCTTGCATAAATTCAAGTTTTAATATTTAAATCAATAGTGATAATATTTTAAATATTCTGTTTTTAAAAAGAATAACTTTAGTATAGTTATTTTTAGAAATGTATTGCTCATTTATTATTTAATTAAAGTATAATAGAATAATTTAACAGTATAAAATGTTAATTTAGATCATTTTTTATTTAATATAAAAAATTATAAAATTAGTTAAAATTTGAATGATTTTTTTTAAAGTAATTTATTGATTTTTATATTAAGATACAAATCTTTTGTATTTGGCTATAATCTTAATATAAAAAATTATAAAAAGAGAATATTTTTAATCTTTACTATAATTAGATTTTTTTAAAGAAATAATTAATTATAAACTATTATTAATTTATTCTTATAAATAAATAATTTTTATATGAAGAATAATCTTTTATTCTTTAAAATCAAAATAAAAAGAAATTATAGTGTTTTAAGAATTAATAATAATAATAATAATTTGTAAATAAGCTTAATTATTTATAAAATAATATACCCAATATTCAAGTCCAATTTTAGCTTTTATTATAAAATGTATTCATATTAATTTACAATGTTAAAATCATGATGCACAAACTCTGCGAATTGTATTCAGATAAAATAAGATCAAACATCTTTTTAAAATTATAATCCTATCTTCTGCATATTCTAATAAAACCGAATACATATATTCATTTGTAGCTTGGTTTTTTCTCATTAATTATATTGATAATGAGGTCTAAATCTATTTCAGAAGTCTTGTTTTAATTAAAAATAAAAAATAGATTGCTTATACTGAAGTAAATATCTTTTTTTATCTCGCTGTAAACTCTAAATGTAATTTGTGCCGGCTCACTAATGATTTTAACTGAATTTCCTATTTATACTCGTTAGATTATTTGGAATTTATTTCTGCCTTAGTCCACGCGTCGTAATTGTATAACCATGCTTATAAATAACCCCAATCAGATATTCTCTACGGAAATGAATTTTGTGTATTCTTTATAAGCCTGTCGATATCATTGTTATCAGTGGACAACTCAGTTTTATTAAGTTGTAATAATATAAAAAAACTTTCATCTGTACATCGCAGCGAACGTTTTTCTTGACAACGAGCACATTTCTTACAACAGATTCATCATGAATACATACTTATCGTTACGTTATACATGTACGCGTACGAACCTGTGTTTCTTGTTATTCATTTTAACTTTCCAAATTACCGATTAATATCATTCACAGAAAACATAAACACAAATTATGTTTCGATGAAGGTGAACTTTTACGATTACGTTAATTAGTGCTAATCACACAGGCTCAACTTACATAAACACATAATGAATGTTTTTTATACGCGCGTTTATATACCTGTATATATGATCGCACCAAAACTTTTTAACTCTAAGAGATAAATTCTAAATTCAAAATTAAACTGAAAAAACCATTTAGAATATCCAAATAATATTACTTATATGTATAACTCGCGTGCCAACTTTCAATTTATAAAGATTTATTATCTAATTAAAAAAAAAAGATATCGACAATCTAATAAAAGAATGCGCAAAAATATAATGCACTTTATAAATTGTTTCTATTGCAAGATATTGAAGGGGTTCATTCAAAAAGCATTGTTGCACTACGTATTACGAGTTGGTTCATGAAGAAAATAAAATTTAATCGATCGCAAAATGAACAATTTCTAAAGCACATGTATCAGTAAAATGCCATTGTTGTCTTCTAATTCAGACAAATAGATGTGGACTGCAAGAATGATGTGTGTTAACTAAAACATGAACGATATGCATTAAGTTCTGTATCCAAAGAATTTGAATGGGAAACAAAAGACTACTAAATTTGGTATTTTATTGTGTGTTTCACATGACTTTGAAATTACATGTACATGTACATGTATTAATTTATGAGGAAGAATGCTAATACATGTACATGTATACAGTTGTTCTCATATTTAACTATCTATTCTCCATTAATAGGAAACTTACTTGTTTTCAAGTGAAGAATTTGAACAGATTTTTTAGCACTACGTATAATAGACAATACATGTATACCACTTTTATTTATCATTATCAAGCGATGATGCTTTTGATTTTAAGACTTAATACATGTACTGTACATGCACGATTTTGGTATCCATATACATGTATCGGGCAAGATTTTTTTGATAATACAGATGAGAATATTGATCGACCGCCTGCTCGGTGTGTTCATAACGGTAAACAAGTTTCGACATACCGATACATGTAATTAAACAGGTTTGTTGATTTTTTCAACAACATAACGATAACGATAATGAGAATTTCTAATTAATTTAAATGTGGGAATTTGTTCAATTTTCCGACTTATAATACTTAGTACTTTTCGAATGGAAGTATTTGTAAAACATATTCCCAATGATGCCACGGAGCAACAGCTAAAAGAATTACTATTAAAATATGGTAGAATCACCCGATGTAAGCTAAGTAAATGGAAAAAAAATCGAAATGGTTGCATCGCTTGGGTCACCTTCGAAAGCCAAGAATGTGCAGAGAAATTATTGGCTTCAACCAGTTTCAATAATCTATCTTTATTGGGCAGAAAATTAGAAATTCTTCGGCTGAATAGGCGGGAACAAAAAAATCAACAAAAAAAGTCTCAAGAAGTGTTGTGTAATTTTCAAATTGTGAATTTGGAATTAGGTAGTTGGGTGGGTGCTCAGAGGAGAAATAATGAGAGTCTAGACTGGACATTCATGAGTGAATGGAAATATTCTTCACAATATCCAACTTATTCGGAACCTAGATTTATTGTATCTAAAGCAGAAAAGTCATTTTTTATTGATGGATTTGTCTCGAAAGAATTTAATGAGGAGAAACGCGTAAAAATTAAATTTCAAACATTAGCCGAAAAGTTGCGTGGAATAATTGTTGACCCTTCGCAAGAAAAACATGGTTTTTTCTTTATTTATTTATTTTTGAAACTTCCGCCCGAATTGATGAGAAAAGCGGATTCCCAAATGCTTGATCTGTTTGGGGACCCTTTGCCGGACAAGTGGGTGAGAATTCAAGATTGGACCGGATCGATGAATGTTTTCGGTCAATGTTTAGTATATCGATTGACATTCAATACATTCAATGATGAGATCCAGAAAATAAAAAAGATTTTGGCAGATTTGGCTGACGATGGTATTACCGACAACCCTGTACCATGCTATCCAATCAGATACACCGAATCTGATCTATATTCAAGTGAACAATTGGAAGAAACGGTATTTAAAAAGTTGCCGTTTGTTATAAATTACAAACTAGAGTGTCTCCTTTCCCATAATGTACTTTCACCGCGAGAAATAATCGATTATAGCTTGGGCGATCGATTGAAAAAATTGGTAGATTGTGGTGATGAAAAATTAGCCTGGCATGGCCTAAATAATTTATTGAATCGTCATTGGGATCCAGCCGAGCCTTTAAATGAAAGACCAATAATGGCTTTCGAGACGGCTATCAAAAATTTTAAGGGAGACTTTTACGAGTGGTACCCGAATCCTAATATCACTCAGTCTAACGAAAGACACTCGTGTGTCAATCACGCAACTGTGACGCCCACAAAGATTTATTTCGAAGGTCCAATTTTTGAGACCTCGAATAGTATCTTACGGAGATACGCAGAGTACACAGATAGATTTTTGCGAGTCACGTTTACCGAGGAAAATTTTGAAAAGTTGTTTTCCGGAACAGATGTCAACCTTAAGGATATTTATGATTTCCGAATTAGGAAAATTCTAAAGGAAGGTTTCCGAGTTGCTGGACGTCATTATGATTTCTTGGCTTTTTCTAGTGCGGGTCTTCGCGAACAGTCTTGCTGGTTTGTTGCTTCCACAAATGATTTTATACCAGATAATATTCGAGCATGGATGGGTGATTTAAGTGAAATAAAAATTCCGGCATTGTATGCCGCAAGAATGGGGCAAGCCTTTAGTAGTACGGTTGGCACAATCGAACTAGAAGAAGATCAGGTTCGTTATATTCTGGATGTTGAGCGAAACGGTCACGTTTTTAGTGATGGGTGTGGTACCATCTCGCCTGCTCTGGCAAAAAGAGCTATTAAAGTCTATTGGAGAGCACGTACGGTAAAGGAAAGTGAAATTCCATCAGTTTACCAAATTAGATTTGGTGGTTGCAAGGTAAACTATTAATAGTTAAAAAAATAAGATGCAAAGTAAGAATAGAATAGAATAAACAATTACAAATTTTTTATTTGATTTATTAAGGGCGTTGTTTCAGTCGATCCTACCCTTGAAGATGAAGTTTTATGTATTCGTCCGAGTCAACTTAAATTCTCTGCGCCTAGATCTAAAAATCTTGCAGTCGCTAAGGCTGTGAGGAATCCTGCACCTGCTTATCTCAATCGACAAATTATCTTGTTGTTATCGAATCTTGGGATCGGTGATGATATCTTTGTTGAATTGCAAAAACGACACCAAGATTTAATTAAGACTATGTTGCGGGATCCTGCAAAGGCCAAAGAAGTAGTTCGGAATTATACCAATGACTCGACCCATATAAGTCGAACAATGCTTGGGTGATTATCATAAATCGTTTATTTTTATTTTAGATTATTAAGACTTTATGCTCCAGGAGAGTTCTGAATTTCTTAATTTTGTTGCTCTCGAAAATATAATTTCGACATTAGTATGATTGATGCTGGCCTGATAGAAGTTAACGAGCCATTCCTTAAAGGATTGCTCGAGGCAAAGCGATGTTTCACATTAAAGGATCTACGTTACAAGGCTCGAATTTCTGTTCCCGACACCTTTCTTCTGTTTGGTGTGATGGACGAGATGGGGATTCTGGAAGCGGATGAAGTGTTTGTTCACACTTCTATTATCATAAATAATGATCAGCCGTTAGAGGATGATCAAGAAATTAAACGTAAAAATCAGGTACGGACTGGTAATGTCCTTGTTACTAGGAATCCATGTTTACATCCCGGTAAATAATGATTTAAAATTTTACAATCAACGATTATAATAGTTTGCTCATGTTAATCTTGAAATTTAATTTTTTTAATTTTATAAATACATGTATAAAGGGGATATTTCAGTGCTGCGGGCAGTTGATATTCCTCAATTGTATCACTTAAAAAATTGTATTGTCTTTTCGCAAAAAGGTCAAATACCAGTAGTTAATACCATGTCTGGTGGTAAGTATTTTAATACAATTTTAATTAAAATATTTATTGATTTATTAATTTATTTCGAATCTTCCATTCACAATACAGGGGACTTGGGTGAGAATTTACACTTTATATACTCCACAATTAAAATTAATCTTTGACTCATACTCGCGTTTTCGCGTGCCTTTATTCAGACGGCGATGAATTTTTTGTAAGCTTTTATAAACCAATTATGCCATCGCGTAAGCATGAACCGATGCGGTATGATAGACCACCACGTGTCGAACTTCCACGTCCAGTAAATATTGAGGATGTATGTGATTTCTTTGTCGATTTCATGATAAATGACCGTCTTGGAAGTATCTGTAATTTGCATATGGCTTTTGCGGATTCTCATGTTAATGGTGTTCAAAGTGAAGAATGTTTATTATTAGCAAATCTTGTGAGTCTTTATTATTATGTATTAGTTCTTTAAGAGAGGATTTAAGTTTAATTGAGTATTAATGCCAATTTTTAGGCATCCAAAGCTGTCGATTTCAATAAGACAGGCGAGTAGCGCGAGAATTAAATTTAATTTTAGCTGACGTAAATAAAAATTAACGTAAATCATGTTATTTATCTTTGGTTTAGGGCAACCTGTCGACGTCAAATTGCCAGGTCTATATATGTATTTTGTATTTTGCTCTTTTAAGTCAAATCTAAATATCACACTTTGAATTATATTTTATCAATAAAGTAATCGATAAATATCCCGATTTTATGGAGAAGAAACACCGTGAATCTTACGTATCTGAGAGGATCCTTGGAACTCTGTATCATTGTATAAAAGTCGACACTCCTCAAAATGATTCACTTTTAAACTATAAAAACTATGGCATCACAGTAGACGAGGAGTTTCTCGCAGAAGGCTATGAGGATTACATCGAAGAAGCGGTCACGATGCGCGACGACTATAACTGGAGACTTAAAAGCTTAATGAAAAAATACAGCATTAAGACAGAACCAGAAATCATCACTGGAAACATTATTCAATTTCGTGGAACGGACGGAAAAAAGATTTATGATGTTCGCAAGACGATCTCTATAGAAGTTGCAGTTATCATACAAAAAACACGGCTATCTTTTCGAAGGGATCTGGATGACCATGAGGATACAGAGGATGATTTGCCATTTTCTTCACGTGTTCATATCAAGATTACAAACGAGTCAAAAGCTAAAGCGTCCGCGTGGTATTACGTGACGTATCATCGTAAGAAGCATGACAGTTTGGGTAATGGCCAGATTTGGCATGATGATGAAATTTTTTTAAGTTTTGCATGGACCGTTTCTGATATTTTGCTTGCTATTCGTAAAGAAAACATCGCTTCTAAAATTCAATCTACAGAATGGTGACCGAATTTATAAGCATCATCATTGCTCTTTTTGCATTCATTACATACATTGATAATTTTCTTTAGTAATTCTGCTTCTTTAAATTACGCAAGTTTTTGATTATGAAGTGCCAAGTTATATAGCTTTTACTAGAAGATTAAATCACAAGATTTATAATACATCTGAAATAGATTTCTCATACTGAAATAGATCTTATATACCAAAAATAGATTTCACATGCCTAAAATAGGGGAACGCTAAAGCAGGGTAGTGGATTATATGTTAATTCGAATTATGTAAATCCAGATCATGTCAATCTGAATTTACCTATAAAGTTGTACAACCGTACACAATATATTTCGTCATTATTGCAAGGGAATTTTTTTTGTTTTTTGGCGGGGGAATAAAAACAATAAGGATAAGGGTGGATAGGGGATGGGATGTCGGTTAAGGAATAATTATGTCGATAACACAAGCTTAAAAATACATTCGCATAAGAAACGCAAAAAAAAAAACCAAATACATTTGCGCAAGAAACGCAAATCTTATATTTCGAGCTGTGTTTAAGCCACATGAAACACTATAAAAACAACTCATATACGCGCACACACACACAGATACGTACACGCACACACGTACACACAAACTACATGCACATACAAACCACACGGCACACCACATATACATCACACGCACACATACATATACACACGTGTATATACGCATACACACGCACACACACCTACACACCTTTACACCTTGAACAAGACTTCTAATGCAAGAAATTATTAATCAAAAACGCGCGAGTCTTTTTAATGTTAATAACTCCTTCGAAGTATCTGAAAAGGAGTTTCATGAAGAATTATGGCCACTCGTATCCAATGTCTGGATGTAATATAACAGCTGGCAATCTCTTAATAACGATTTTTGGATCATTTACATCTGTCGTCTCTTAAAGCATCACGAATCCAGTATGCGGAAAGCAAGAATCCTAGTTAAAAAGAGGAGAAAGACAAGTAAACGCGATTCCAACCAGTGTGATGCCAAAATTAAAGTAACACATATTATTACAACACAAATGGTACGAATCGAATGCTATAAAAATGCTCTGGATCATACACATCAAATTGAGGATATTGATCAAATAAAGCAGTCAGAAGTAATCAGACTAATGAAGCAAGCAAACTATATAAACCACCAGCTATTGTCACCACAATTAAGGAACTTGCAGTGAATAAGGGGCTTGATACTATCATCCAAAAATTGTGTTGAACCGAAGTGATGAACATTCAACAAAATATACGCAAATCACTAACTAAACATCTTATAGGTGAAAAAGATCTTGAATCCAATATCTAGTATACTTTGAAATTTCTAACCAACAAAAATTATCGAGTTGAGCATTTCAAGATCATGCAGCAATTGCAAAAAGTATCGCAAGATCTTTGCTTTGCAAATTGTAATCAATTGAAAAAATTACAATGTCATGGATGGCTAACTCTTATAGACTTGACACATAATACCAACAAGCACTTATGATATCTTTTCATCTTATATATTTGAGATGGTTTTGGTTGCTGGGATGTGGATGCACATTTTCTTGTTAGTAAGGAAGATAGCGATACAGTAACTAAGGCATTAAAGGTGATTCGTCAATTTGAATCTCATTAACTTCTTCATTATATGTTATATGATCAAAGCAATATAGAAATGAATAGTATTGCAAACATCTTTCCTGATATTACACGTGACAAACAAAATTGTAACATTTTCTTTTGTACCATGCATATTATGCGAACATGATTATGTAAAATTTATCATCCAGCGACATGCAATCAAATAATCTTAGTTATATATAAAAAGATGAGTATCGGTTATGAAGAGATTATTAAGAATATCATTATTATCTGTCCTGTTTCTGAAATTATTCATTATATTAATTGTAATTATACTAATAATACAGAAAAATAGGCACTTTGGGCACATCAGCACTCTTCTCTTTTATTACAGGTCACCTCAACGAATCTATTAGAATCCTATTACAGTGAACTCAAGAGAATAATGGCAAAGGAATACGGATTAATAGGTGAGACACAATTTATTATGTGATAATTCCCTTTAAATTTTCTAAGCTTACTAGATCACATGATAAATTATGTTTTTATTGTTAACAGTCTGTTCTTTATTATATAATTTAGGAGCATACTTTAAAATTATTGAACTCGATGACAAAAAACAGATCGATTTAGAAAAAATAGCTCTTAACTTTTATCAAAAATATATCTTTGTAATTGATCTCGATAATGAGATACTTGAACAGATATATAAGTTTCCCTATCCCATCCAAAAGTTAATTATAAGTGAAGCTATAGCTATGAACGCAAGAATAATGAAGGAAAAGCTGCCATCAGATCTATAAATATCCCAGTGTAATTGTATATTTTTTCATTGTTATTTGCTTCCATATCGATATATCCTTCATCAACATATTTTCAGTTTTAATAAGCTATTAATGGTTGAGATTTGGAATAAATTTTAATAGATGTTTGAAGAGATTAGTTTTGAAGTATATGAACATCATGAAATGATTGAGCTACCTGAGTCAATTTAGACTTAAGTGGAAAAAGAAGTAGAAATATAAAGACTTTAAATTGGTAAACTTATGGAAAGGGTGCGGGACAAGTATTAAGAAATTGAAAATGAAGGTGATGTAGAAGCAACTAAGACATTTATTATATGTTTAGATAAATCATTGACTTCAGTTTTTAAACAATTATATATATATAATTATTATTATACATTTGCTATAATTATCTTCGTATTTCTTAATCATTGTTAATTTTTTGTATTCGCTAATTGTCTTCACTATTATTATCTGATAATATATTTAGCTAATAATTATCTTTCACATGATATGAATGAATCACATGATATGATCCGGATCGAATTATATATCACGTGAGACTATCTGGCTTTAGTGGACCCCCTAAAATAGATTTTATTTATGGAGATATATTTATACACTTTAATTATTATGAGTAATTGTGTGTTAAGAAAAAAATAACAGTGATATAAGAAATATTTTTTTATAATACATAAAGAAATATGATCAATTCCATATCTAGTAATCAAATTTTCATAAATACATTTTTTTGTTTACATGTACTTTCTTTTATTTACACTTTCATAAAGATGGTTAACATGCAGCTTGAAGCCCAAAAACAAATAATTAAACATTACTGGCTTAATGATACCTATTCAGCCAAAATAATACATAAGATAACAGATATCTCTTTTTGTATAATTAAGTATAATCTCAAAAAAACTTAGAAAAACAGATACTATTAAGTACAAGCATGAAAACAGATGTAAAATCAAGATTATACAAACTATATCTCATGTTATCAGGCAGAATATCTGATGCAATAATATTCTTTCAATCTGTTAACTTGCTATAAAAATAGAAAATATGCAGAATATATTGATTATATATAATATGATTAAAGATATCATCTCAATTAATTGTGACTTGCAATAGCTAATTAGAGAATTGTGATCAATTGTAATAGCTAATCAGAGAATTATGACCAAGTTGTAATACTATCTTTAATTATGATATGAAATTATATAAAAAAAAGATATAAAATCTTTGTATTTTTAGTAATGCTGATATTTACAGAATGATATATTGAGTTAAGAAAAGCATAGGCACAGATATATGTAAATAATAATTAGAACTAAATAATTTTTATAAATAAAATAGTATTTGATTTCTCTGAAATAAGATTCATCATTAGTATAAAACTAAAAATAGATTTATTTGAAAATTATTCAAGTTTTATTAGAAAGTAATGATATAAAGAGATATTTCTTAAATAAAAAAACTCTCTTATTCTATTTTACTAACATTATAAATGGCTCTTTTATATAAAAATATTACAAATCCAACTTTTATCTACAACTTAAAAAATATATGGAAGCTGTTAGTATTTGTAATAAAATAATAATTTAAAATATATATTATATATTACTAAGAAATTTATTACTAAAAATTTGATTTACTTAATCAACTAATTATCTAACTGTAATCTTCTAGTTATATGATATAATATATCAGAAAAATTTATATAGAAGATTCAAGATATATGATAATATAATTAAAATAAAATTCACATAGAAAACTAATTCAAGTAGAAAAATTATATTTAAAACTTATTCTTTATTTATTATTATATTATTATTATTAAAAGTATAAAATAAAAATAGCATCTTTAAATAATAATTAAATATTATATAAAATTAATAATAAAATAAATAAAATTAATAATAAATAATACTTATTATTACAAATTATATTCTGAAAGATAGATTTTATCACAAATATATAGTTTATAATAAGTTTTGAGAGCAAAAACTGAATTATTCATAAAAATTAAGAGAATAATAATTATTCTAAAAATTTTCTAATTTCAATACTCATGAGTATTATATCAACACAAGGTAAAAATAAAATAAAATAAAAATATAAAAATGAAATTGTGATCATGAATACTAAACCAAGAGATAGTATCAAAAAAACTAAGCAATAAATACTAAAATCAAGACAACAAATGCCAAATGTAATAAATACTAAAACTAGAATAACAAATACTAAACTAAGCTTTTATACGTGAAAAAGCTTACAAGAATCTCCTAAATTAAATAAATATACTTGGCTTATTTTAAGTGAAGGATATCTACTTCCTAAGTTTTTCAGACAAGAAAAACTTATAAATAATCAGAATATAATCTATTATAATAGAAAAGATAAATGAAAGCAAGATATTAAGATAAAAATCAAAAAAAAAATTACAAGATAAATATAACTCAAGTATTATTAAGAATAATTGAATTATTATTATTCAAGTATATTTATTTCATATCTCAGAGCAGAGATATTTATATATCTTTGAGATTTTATAAATTTTTATTTAAACTTATTTACTACTCTAGTATATAATTATAAGTTTTAGAACAAAAAA